CACTTCCTCCCGGTAATTTAAGCTTCTTTCAGCTTTTTTAGCTACTTTTCAGCATTTTGCTAATTTCATTTTTTTCAGATGATTTTTACTTTTTTTTACTAATTTTTGCTTCTTTCAGCCTATTTGGGCAAACATGTTCTTTCTGTTTTCTACTGCGAATTTAAGCTTGTTCTACCTTTTCGGCTACTTTTTAAAAGCAATTTTTAGCTAATTTCAGCTGTTTTCAGATAAATTCAAGTTTGTCATGGTAATTTCTGCTATTTTCAGCCTAATTAACTTCTTTCTAATTTCAGCTTGTTATGCTCCTTTCAGCTTTTTTCTGCTAGTTTCAGTTATTTCAGCTAATATTTAGATGTTTTGATGCTAATTTTAGCTTTTTCAACTAATTCCACATTTGTTGCACTAATTTCAACTTTTTTCAGGATAATTCAGCAAAAATGTGCTCTCTCCACTTCATCCTGGTAATTTAAGCTTTTTTGCTTTTTTAGCTACTTTTCAGCAGTTTTTTTTTTGTTGCTAATTTCAGTTTTTCTTTTCAGATTATTTCTATTTTATTTTATTTAACTTATTTTTGCTTCTTTCAGCCTATTTGGGCACATATGTTCTTTCTATTTTCTTCTGGTAATTTAGACTTGTTCAACTTTTTCAGCTATCTTTTTTAAAGAAATTTTTAGCTAATTTCAGCGGTTTTCAGATAAATTCATGTTTTTGTGGTAATTCCTGCCGGTACTTTCAGCCTAATTTCCGTAACTTCTTTCTACTAATTTCAGCTTGCTATGCTCCTTTCAGCTTTTTTTTCTGCTAGTTTCAGTTATTTCAGCTAATATTTAGCTATTTTCATGCTGATTTTAGCTTTTTCAGCTAATTCCACATTTGTTGCACTAATTTCAACTATTTTCATCCTAGTTCAGCAAAAATGTGCTCTCTCCACTTCCTTCTGGTAATTTAAGCTTCTTTCTGCTTTTTTAGCTACCTTTCAGCTGTTTTTTGTTGTTGCTAATTTCCACTTTTTCCTACTTTTTTGTGCTAATTTCTGTTTCTTTCAGCCTAATAGGGCAAACATGTTCTTTCTGCGTTCTTCTGCTAATTTAAGCTTGTTCTACCTTTTCAGCTAACTTTTTATTAAGCATTTTTAGCTAATTTCAGCTGTTTTCAGATAAATTCAAGTTTTTTGTGGTAATTCTGCTACTTTCAGCCTAATTAACTTCTTTCTACTAATTTCAACTTATGCTGCTTTCAGCTTTTTTTCTGCTAGTTTCAGTTATTTCAGCTACTATTTAGTTGTTTTATACTATTGTTTTCAGCTCATTCCACTTTTTTAAGCTAATTTCAGTTCTTTCCACTTCCTCCTGGTAGTTTAAGCTTCTTTCTGCTTTTTTAGCTTTTTTTGTTGTTGCTAATTTCAGCCTTTTTTAAGCTAAATTCATAATTTCAGTGCTCATTTCTGCTTATTTAAACCTAGTTCAGCAAACATGTGCTTTCTGCCCTGTTCTGCTAATTTAGGCTTGTTCTTCCTTTTCAGCTAAAATTCAGGATTTTTTTTTTTTAGATCATTTTAGCTGTTTTCAGCAAGTTCTTCAGCAATAAGCATTCACACTGCATTTTTGCAGCAAATGCAATTTCTCTAGTTGTATTAAAGTTCTGCCATAGCGCACGTGTAAGATCATCAAGAGACGCAGTAGCACGGCACGTTTAATAAACAGACCCCAGGAGATTCTTTGTAATCTAAACTCTCAATCTGTGTTGAGATTAAGAGTCAACAGTTTGTTCTGACTGCTTTATTATTTATTTAATCACATTTTATAGCTGTGATCATGGTACAGAATCAGTCTGTCTTTATTTTTATGTTTCATGTTCGTCATTTCTGCAACTCACAGCAAACAGTGAAAGTTTTATTTTGAAACGTAAACACAACCGATACAGGCCTCGAGCTAAACGGAAGCAAAGGAGCTCCGGAGGAACCACTCACCAGTGAGAAAAGGACTGAATGGGGTTTGGTAAAAGCATATTACACTGAGTTTAATGTCTTTTTAATAGTTCGCCCCAAGTTGACCAAAATTAAAAGTGAATTCAGTTTTAACCCTCCTGCTGCCTTTGGGTCAAAACGACCCATAAGACTGAGAAGTCATGGATAAGTTTGACCCAAGGTTTTTATTGGTTCTTGTAATTTACCAATAAATAAAATGGTCCAAGCTTATGTCGGTCCCTCTAACATCTTGGAGTTTTCAAACGTTTTAAAGGTTGACCAGCTTGTATAAATGAAGTTTGCACACATCCTTCGGTTGATGTGAAAACGCAGACTTGTAGATCTGACACCCACCCGTATGAGCTGCAGGTCAGTGAGAGCTCGGACTGTGTAGTCGGG